AGGCACCAATTATAAGCTGGTACCTTCATTTCTTAGTTTTAATCGTTCTTCCTTTGTTATATTGTAATTAAAGATTATTGTTTGTTAATTATCAAGTGTTTTATTCATTTGTTTGCAAATTCAAATATTATGTACAATCCCATAATTATTTGTAATGAAAATGCTATGAATGTAAAGTGCTGTTTGCATGATGATCTAAATCCTATTTTGTTCAAGTATGATATAAAATAATATTGCATACCGGGAAATTATCGCCCAGTCAAACAGCCCTTAGCCAAACTTATGTATATTCATCCATTGCTAATTCGGCTTCCACATTTTATTAATATTGACATTATGTTGTTAATTATTGTTTGCTGTAATGATAAATTTGCCCTCTTTTGGTGGGTGAATAGCGAAAATTTCCCTGTATACATTAGCATGCTTGCAACCAGACCATTTTGAATTTTATCATTTATCTAATCTAAATTCATATGCAACTTTACCTAACAATAAATGTCATTTTTCATGTGAAATAACCTTATAGTCTTTTGTTAATTATTATATGCCATTTAATACCACATACAGCACACCAATCTTGATAAAAATCATATACATGTATAACAACTTTACGCCAACAAAGTTTGAAGTTCAAGAACACACTTAACTCGTCCTGTATACAATGACTATATAATCAAAAGTTTCAATTCCTATCATTGTTTTATGTGACTGAAACATCAGGCATTACACTGTATACCATGAATCTGATGTAATTCCATATTACATCAAAAAAGTTTGTATTGGTAAGGGATACATTGTAACTCACTTAATGATACAATTGATATCAACAACATCCAAAATATTTCAATACCAAATTAAGAGGCATCGTAAATGATTTATGATTTGTTTAAAACATAACAAAGGCAAAAAATACATCTGTTGTAACATAAAGTCAATTACCTCCCTTACACCAACTTTATCTTAAAATAAAAAAATGAATTTGGACTCAAAATTGATAAAACAAGGGGAAAAAATGAAATGAAGGAATCCTCTCAGTCCATGGTACTGACAACAGCAACAAGAAACACTAATTAGTTCAATTCAAAAACCTAAATACAATGTATATCTATTGTATTGCAAAAAGAAATTTGGAATTTCAGTTAGTACATTTGTACTCACAAATATTTTGAATATTAACCACGAGTTACACAAATATCCCGAGAGGTTATGATTAGGAGACTCCAGCATCACTCGGAACTATCTGGAGCTTTCCGGCAAACACTAAACATGATAGTGGCACATTGCACTTCTTTTACTTAATCATATGCATAGTTTCATGGGTTTGTTCTGCTCATGTTAAGAAAAACGAACTTCCTATTGTGATGAATGTGATAATGATGCAGCATTAGTCTTTTTTTTTTTTTTTGCTGATGTATTTTGTTAAAAATATCACCAACCTACATATTGAGTATTGGTAATTAAGTAAACAGATCTATATTTGAAAATATCATGTTATTCATCTGCTTCTGCGGCATCAGAAGGTCTGCTGGACAACCAAATACCCTACTTCAGACCATATGTCCTGCAGGCCGAGTCTTAGTGTAATAGCAGGAAAATAGTTAACATCTCCACCCCATAATCATATGTACAATTGCTAGGCATGCAAAAACTGTCATGCTATCATCATTGAACCATCAACCATTGATCAGGCTCTTGACCTGGAGACTTACTTGCAATAATGCTCTTAATGAGAATATCTTGTCATGATTGCATAAATATCCATGTGAGCGATACAGACCCTCTGGGCCTCTTGTTTTTTCATTTAAAATGTTTTGTAATAGTGTTTATATCATGCAATTTATTCAATTATGAATTTAAAAAAAAAGAATTCAGGAAATCTTGAGTCTTGAGCTAATTCCCCTTGAAAAATCAAGACACACTATCTGTAGTTTGTCAAGTATCTAGTTGAGGAAAAGATTTGATTTCATGATCGCTGAAATCGCAACTTACATACCAGCTTATATGAACCTGTCTTCTAGAAACTATGAGGATATTTGAAGACTGTCACAGATGGTTTAATTTTAGCTTTCTGGAATGGACTGCATGTTATAAAACTATATCGCTATTAATTGCAATATCACATTAATATTTTTGGAAAATTTTCATTGCAATTTCATTTTTTGTCTCGCCGCGACGGAGGAGAGACTAAGGTGATGCATTTCCGGCGATGGCGACGGCATCGACATTGCGTTTAGCTGAACGTTAAGTTTTCGTTATATGCTTCTTAATCAGATAATAATGGTATTATGGTGTTGAAATTTTGCATGAAGGTTCTTTTGGAGTCTACCTTTCATACTATGAGGTCAAAATGGGGATGTTTTTTTTTTTTACATATTTTGGACCAAAATTTTGAGAATTGGACATAACTTTCTAATAATTGTTCGATTAACTTCAAAGTTCATACACACCTTCAGTATACACAGTACTTCAACATACATTACGTTTTATTTTGCTCAAATGACCACAACAATTGTTTTGGCAGGACATTTTGGGTGATTTGGAGAATTGGACATAACCTCTTTAATAATTGTCAGATTTACTTCAAATTTCATACACACCTTCAGTATACACAAGTATAAACAGTACTTCAATATATAATACGGGTGTTTTGCTGAGATGATCACAATAATGTTATGGCAGAAAACATAGAATTTTGGGTGATTTTGAGAATAGAACATAACTTCTTTAATGATGTCAGATTTACTTCCAATTTTATACAAATCTTCAGTATACACAGTACTTCAACATATAATACAGGTTTCTTGCTCAAATGACCAAATCAATTTTTGGATGAAATTTTGTGTTTTTGGCCAGCTAATGTTAAATTTTTGTTTTTAGCTCAGTAGGAAATGCGGTGTACAACTCATTGCGGGTCAGAAACAGAGAGTTTAAATGCTTGGCTCTATTTGTATTGCGGGTCAGAAACAGAGATTTGAAATGCTTGGCTCCGTTTCTTGGACGTTTCTTGGTGTCTCTGTCTCCATTCTCTGTCTGGATATATCAGTCACTGTCCCCATCCTCTGTCTTTATATTTCAGTCACTGTCTCCATCCTCTGTCTGGATATTTCAGTCACTGTCTCCATCCTCTGTCTCGATATTTCAGTCACTGTCTCCATCCTCTATCTGGATATTTCAGTCACTGTCCCATCCTTTGTTTGGATATTTCTACAATGTACTACTGTCCGCATCCTCTGTCTGGATATTCAGTCTCTCTCCCCATCCTCTGTGTTGATTTTTCAGCCACTGTCCCTATCCTCAGTCTGGATATATCAGTCACTGTCCCCATCATTTGTCTTGATATTTTAGTCACTGACCCATCCTTTGTCTGGATATTTCAATCACTTTTCCAGAACTCTGTCTGGATATTTCAGTCTCTGTACCCGACCTCTGGTTTGATGTTACAAAAACTGTCCCCATTCTCTGTCTGATTATTTTTATTACTTTCCCAATCCTCAGTCTTGATAGTTTAATCTCTTTTGTTTTCTTGAAAGTATTGGTGTAAAAACTACAGAAGTTTATGATTTTCTTCTGAAAAACGGGAAGGCATTGATTCAGGATGTTATACTGGTAGCTTACTGGGATAGAGTCCAATAAAGTTGGCAAATAAATATTGCCTTGACTTTATTCACAGTCACAGGGGTCAGATATGTCAACAAATTCAAATGACTTCTGAACAACCCAGGAGATATAGACTGATGATGTTAGGCTGGTTGCTGGCTAGGATGGAGCCAAGGAAAGTTTGTGAATAAAATTACGTTTACCTATATTCAGAATCACAGGAGTCAATTATATCAAAATCTTCAAATTACTTCTCCTAAAGAATTGTTCACAAGACAGGATGGAGCCCAAAAAGTTTCCAAATAGAAATGATTTGACTTACATGTATATTCAAAGTCACAGGGGTCAAATTTGTCAAAAAACATCAGTCCAACTTTCCTAAAGCATCTTAAGTTCTAGATTCATAATATTATGCTGGTAGCTTTCTGGGATGGAACCCAACAAATTTGGCCATTTTGAAAATGTTCTTTAGCTGTATTCAAGGTCACAGGGGTCATATGTGTTTAAAGTTTCAAATGCCTCGAATCACATTATTTGGGCAGTAGCAGCTGGGATGAAGGACTATGAAATTTGTTCCAATGGATGATAATCGCCTATATTGTCACGGGGGTTCAGGAACTATAAAAGATCTTTTTTAAATTCATATGAGTTCGAAGTTTCCCTTGGTTCATATAACTATCAGGGAATCAAAAAAGCCGCCAAGTAGCCGTCTTGGATTTGGACTTTTCAAGATTGTTATTGCTATTGCTCAAGAAGCAAATGAGAAACCTTTTCTAAAATTTCATATGTACTATAAGTTCTCCTTTGTATAAATTTGTTTATGTTTCATTATGGGATTGGTTAGAAAAAACAAGATGGCCATAAGACGATCTCTGATTTTGAGATTTCAAGATTATAATCGCTAAATATCAATAAGTGCCCGATAGATCTTTCTCAAATTACATATGAAAGTTTCCTTGGTCCAAATTTGTTCGCGTTTCATTTAGAACTAATAAAAAAAACTTGTTTAAAGTTCACGCTTGTTTTCACTATTTCTCAAAAAGCACTTGAAAGATCTTTCTCAAATTTGATATGATAGTTCTCTTTAATCTGAAACTGTGCATTTCATTTTGGAACTGCTCAGAAATCAAGATGGCCGCAAGGCAGCCATCGTAGATTTTTAAAGTTTAACAATGTTAATGCTATTTTTCAGTAAGTACTAGACAGCTATTCTTCAAATTTCTTATGAAAGTTAACCTTAGTCAATTGTTGTGCATGTTTTATTTTGGGAATTCAACACTTGATAATTGATTAAACATTTGTGGTTATTCTTTATGGGTTAGGGATGGGGGATATATCTATGTGTGCCCTCACTGTTGAATGTTTCCAACGATTGTCGTCATATTTGCTATATTTATTTTCAGGTGCGTACAGAAACAGTACAACATGGCTTCCAATCAAGACATTCCAGAAGAAGCCGATGGAATTCACAACAAAATGGTGTATTATCTTGGTGAACAAATTAATGATGACCACCTATGCAAACTTAAGGGCCTGTTTAAAAATATCCCACTTACCCCTGTCGACATTGATCAAATCCATGATATATCTGGCTTATTTAACCGTCTTATGGAAAAAGAGGTGATAGGTATTGGGAACTATACAAAACTTATATCAAACCTTCAGCCGATCAATCCAAAGCTGGCAACTTATGTGAAGCAAAAAGAAAAAGAAATCATCAATGTAGGTGAGTTGTACTATATACCTTTATTTATGACATAAGGATGTGTATAACGCACAATAGTATGATGGGATATGTGAAGTTTGTTAGGTGGAGGATGTGGAGGATGTGAAGAAAACTGCTTGGACATTTTGATCTGCTTTAAGAGTATTCTAAGCAAGTTCCATAAGACCCATATTTTCTGATGTTTTGCCAGTAGGTACCTGAGATCTATAATTTCCTCATACAAATAACTTTGACAGACCTTCAAGGTCAGATGGTCAAATACTTGAAATACTTACAATACTATATTATAGTATTAAGGTTTTCACATATCCTTTGTATGTATGTCTGTGTTAGGGATGACCAAGTCTAATGATAAACTGTCAACACCTTAAGGATCCCTGTCCCACTGCAGAAAAACACTAGAAAATGCCACTGTAGTGTTTAGTACACACAGTAATTATATAAGCTCCTTTTAGTTTTGTTTTGGATATGACAGTAGCATTACTAGGCCAGGGTACTTCTGTCATACTCGCCAACTCTCCCTATTTAGGAGGAAGACTCAAGATTTTGGACCATTAAATTTAGTGTTTTCAACCAGTGAATTCGCTGAACTGTTCGTATATTCTAAGATCTAATGATTTCATCTGAAAGAACAACTCCAAATATGTCATTTAAAAGGTTATTTTTTTTCTCTAGGGATGTATACACACATTATATTTATGTTTTAAATATGTCTCCCCTTTGAATGAAGGGAGACATATTGTATTAGTACTGGTTCTTCTGGTTCTTCTTCTTCTGGTTATTCTAACTGCAACTTGTCCGGGCCATACATTTTAAACCGTTGACGATATCTTGTCGAAACTTGAGGTATGCTTGCATCACCCACAGAAGGTGTGAGTGCTCTAGAATTAGGTCACTGTGAACTTCACCTCGAGGTCAATGGTCAAATAAGTGCAACATTTTCAGTAAATTCTTGTCCGGACCGTAACTCTTATACCCTTAAAGATATCTTGATCGATCAAACTGAAAGTATACCTGCATCACCCACAGAAGGTGTGTAGTGCACTGGCATGAGGTATCGTGCCCCACTATATAAAGAATTATGGCCCTTTGTTTATTTTAAATACCGAAGTTTGTCTGCGGCATAACTTCCACGTTATTGCATCTACATTGACCAAACTTGCTATATTTATATATCTTGGGAAGGCGGAAAGTCAAGTACTGAAATCGCGTCTCGTGCCTTACTATATAAACAGATAAGGACCTTTGTTAATTTGTTATACCGAAGTTGTCTGCAGCATAAGTTCCATGTTATTTCTCCTACGTTGACCAAACTTGCTATACTATATATCTTGGGAAGGCGGAAAGTGAAGTACTGAAATCACGTCTCGTGCCTTACTATATAAACAGATATGGCCCTTTGTGATTTTTTTATACCGAAGTTTGTCTGCGGCATAAGTTCCATATTATTTCTCCTACGTTGACCAAACTTGCTATATCTATATATCTTGGGAAGGCGGAAAGTCAAGTACTGAAATCGCGTCTCGTGCCTTACTATATAAACAGATATGGCCCTTTGTTAATTTTGTATATCGAAGTTTGTCTGCAGCATAAGCTCCACGTTATTTCTCCTACGTTGACCAAACTTGCTATATTTAGCCAATAGAGGAACCAGATTGTAATCGGATGTGTGATAATTCCTATTTGTATATACATGTAAATGTGTCTATAGTACCATAGCTGCCGAAACTTAACCAAAATTGTTAAGACAATTTCACATGAACCAGAATAATTTAAAAAAAATAATGGTTTAGAGTTTACACACCTTTATCTTGATGTTACCTTTCTATTTTTCCAAATATGCATATTGGCTAATACGAGGAGACATGTTTTTGTTTATAAAAACTTTCTAGTTTTTAACATGCATGATCTCCCGCATGGAAATTTCAAAAGGTGGGCAAGTGTGTTCAGTAGATCAATATTCTAACCTACTGGTCAGTTGGTTAACAGTGATTGACCATGTCTTGTATGACAGTGTTCATACTTTGGAAATTAGGAGGTTAAACTCACTTAATAATATGTAGAAGTTACAACGGGAACAATGATTTTTTTTTTGATTTTTTCAGTGAGTCTGCCCCTTTATCAAATCACACACACAAAACAAAAACCATTACTACTGAATTTCTAATGCTGATGTCGACAGTTATCACTGTAGCTAGCTTGGAGCCAAAGGCTTTTTTTATAAATAAACTTTTTTCATACAAGAAAACCATTATTTTTTCTACTGGAAAAGCATTATATTTTTTACTGGTCAGTAATTGTAATTGTAACTTCTGATTGGCTGAAGTTACTTGGCATTGAAATTACTGAGCAATGATGTGTTTAGTACAAAATTGTTTTAGTTTGCAGCTTAACTGGTACTTTACAGTACTAGTCATCAAACACTGAGCGGATTTCAACAGAATTTGGTGTGGAGCATCCTTGGGTGAAGAGAAACCAATTTTGTATAAACAGTGTGTCTGACCCCACAGGGGCCTGAGGAGCGGGGCCATATAGGAGGAATATTTATTGCAAATTCTTTAAAATCCTTCTTCTTCTGTAAAAATCAAAAGATTTGGTCCATATTTGGTGTGGAGTATCCTTGGGTGAAGGGGAACCATCTTTGTATAAATGTTGGGTCTTGCCCCCAGGGGCCTGAGGGGCAGGGCCCAATAGGGGAAATATAGCAAATCATTCTTTGAAAATCCTTCTTTTTCTGTAGGAATGAAAGGAATTGTTCCATATTTGGTCTGAAGCATCCTTGGGTAAAGGGGAACCATTTTGTATAAACAGTGGGTCTGGCTTCCCAGGGGGCTGAGGGGCGGGCCAAATAGGGGGAACATAACAAATGCTTCAAAATCCTCCTTCTTCTTCTTTTGGAATGAAAGGATTTGGTTTATATTTGGTATGAAGCATTCTTGGGTGAAGTGGAACATATTTTGTATAAACTGTTGGTCTGGCCTCAAAGGGGCCTGAGGGGCAGGGCCCAATCTGGAAAATATAGCAATTTTTTTCAAATCTTTCTTTTTCCGTGGGAATGAAAGGATTTGGTCCATATTTGGTGTTGAGCATCCTATGTGAAGATAACCAATTTTGCATCAACCGTTGGTCTGACCCCTGAGGGCAGAAGATGGGGCCTAAAAGGGTAAACATAGCAAATACTTCAAAGTCCTCTTTTTCCTGTAGAAATGCCAGGATTTTGTAAAATTGCATATAAGTATAACCCTTGACTAACCATGTTATACATGCACACTACATATGTACCAGCAACATCTAACTATTCCAACATCAATTTTGCTAACGTTTCCAGGTGAGCGATACAGGGCCTCTTGTTCATATTTCATTTTGAGCTTGAATCAGAAGAAAAATTAAGGCTGCTAGAAGTCAAATCTTTCTTGATCATTTTTTTAAACATAGCTCTTCTATAGAATAGTAAACTAACATAGAAATAATGAACTTCCAATGCTGGTGACCATCTAAATTTTTCTGGTAAGCATGCTGGGTTGTTATCAAATTTGTTTCAATGAATGACTTTGAGCCACTTTCAAGGTCACAGGGGTCAAATGTATTAAAATTAATGAACCTTTAAACAACTTCTTAAAGTTTTCATGCTAAAGGTCATGCTATTAGATATGCTTTCTAGGTCACAGGACTTAAATGTGTTAAAACTTTTGAACAAATTCTGATTAACCAGTAGGTCTAGGGCGATGACAATTGGCCAGCAGCATGTTAGAATGAAGGAATATCCAGTTTGTAATGACTGATTAATCAACCTTTTACTGAATAATAAAGAGCTTTATAGTCATGATATTTGGTTTTTGGCATGCTGGGATGAAGGGCTTTTAAATGTGTTCAAATGTATGGCTTTGAACTTAAAATATTACGATAAAGATTCAGAGGGATATCCCAACTAGGTTTCGTACTTATGTGCAGAGTAATGATATTTTGTCTACTTAGGTAAACATACATTGACGACCATTTTGAAGATCAAATATGTTCTAGGGAATAAGCAGGTTAGTGATTCAGGCCCATTTGGCCACTTGACACTTTCTTCATTGAAGAAAAAGTCAAATATCACATAAAACAAATGGGTTGAAACCTCTTTATTTATAAATCTTACTTTCAGATGAGTGGAAGCTTCTAAATCCCATGATCAGGATACCATTATTGAAGATGGCTGAAGGTTGTGACTTAGCTGAGTCATGTAACTCAAAGTTATTTGTAGAGAGGAAGGAGCCTATGGACTGGCTGAATAAGATGTACAATGAGAGACAACGTACGGCAAACCTACCCGAGAATCATCAGTACAGAATATACGGTATACACGGGAAAAAAGGGATAGGTAAGTCTTGCGTAATGCTGCAGTTTTTGCATCGAATTCAACATGAAACTTCAAGAAATGAAACAGTGCATGTTGGATCGTTTGACTTTGACAAAGTCAGAAGTTTCCAAAGCTTTTTAAATAGACTTTGTACTTTTTTCGGTGTTGAAATGCATAAATGGAAAAAAGAATCAGGCAATAACAATGATGACGATGAGGAGGAGGAGGAAGACTTTATGGATTGCATGAGTCAGATTGAGAGAAAAATGACGGATAACCCTAGCAACAAGTTTATTGTGTTTCTTGACAACATGGAATGTGCCTGTGGCAAGGCTAAAACTGACGGGACGGCACCTGACATGTCTAATGTATTTCTCTGGGACAAGATCTATAAAGAATTCATCCACAATCTTCTACCAAAGTGTCACAATTTATTGGTGTTCATAACGTCCACACAGACGGCTAGGTTTGCGGAGTTCGGCAGCATTGCCTGTAAAAAGGACTTGAAGGAAATGACTGAAGAAGAAGCAGAATGTCTGCTACGGAACCAAGTTCCAAGGGTCATAACAGAAAAAGGAAGTTTGTCCTCAATTGTTCGCTTGTGTGATGGTCTGCCACCAACTATCATAAAAGCAGGTATGTCAATCAAATAGTAGATACAGACTGTAGAGGATGCCTCCATATATATTTGCTACTATTATAGCAGGCACCCATTTATTTCCTTTATTACTGGACAAAGTCCCCATCAAAATCATTAAACAAATACACTACCACCAGGCAGATTGCAATTTGTATATTGTTTGACCTTTTAGAAATAATGCTGAAATAAAAGGTACACCAATATAATATCTTTGATAATCCTAGGACAGATGTGTTAAAGATAAAATATTGTCTATAGACTAGTTGAGAGATGGACTTCGGAACTTGTAGGTTGAAAGTCACCAGAAAAAGGCTGAAGATGATTTTTTGATTGGTTTTATTTGAAGAACATTAAAATAATCCACCCGTTATTAATTTATTCAAATTTATAATATTTCAGATTTATGTGAAACTGAGTTCTTACTTCCAGGTGCCATGCTTTGTGATGAAGATTACAAACATGAAGAAATAGCTAATCTATTGAAAGACTTTAATAACAAGATGGATTTACATGGTGATGATCTGTTTCCCAAAGATGATCGCTATGGTAAGTTACAGTTAACACAGTATTAGTGTTAAGTATGTAATCTATCTTAAGAGTCAAAATCATCTTACTTGTACTATACAGATTAGCCTGCACACCTTTTATTAAACAGTTCTTCAGATCAGGTCATTGGGGATAGTTAGGTTTGGTTTATAGGGTGTGATGTCCTATCAACAGCTACCAAAGATCATTTAAGGTCATGGGGAATCAGGGGAACCGGATGAATATACTAGAATCGGCCAACCCATTCATATGATTGTAAACACTTTTTTATTTTGGTGGTACTGGTGGTGGTGGTGGGATGGAGAAGGATGGATTTACTGGAATCAGCCCACACTTCATAGATTTACGACTAACTTACTGTCCTAGTTTAAGACTAGTACCAATATTATTTTCCTACACTTCTACATGTAGATGAGCAACTGAAGAAATTCATAAACCGCCTTTCTGATCAAAACAAGAGCAACCTGAAGTCTCTCGCTGAGATGATCAATACACAAGGACAAGTTGGAATTGAAGATGCTGCTTCAAAACTTCGTAAGTAGTTTTGGTTTTAGACATTAATCTATAGGTTAGAAGTAGAAGTAGAAGTAATAAGACACTGTTTAAACATTCCCTAACAAAGCCGAGCAGACATTAACAGAGAACTAATTGGTCATCTAAGACATACCTTTACCATATAATGTGGTAATTATGTCTTTTCTGATAAATTCCTGTCAGGGCTGTAACTACCAAAAGAAGGGAATGTACTTTACACACCATGGCCTTTATCTTTAGGTCAAAGGTGAAATAATAACCATCAATATACATATTGGCTAATAAGGGGATTGAGAAATATTTTCTCTCTAGTTATTCAATTTTTTATTTTTTTTGTAACTTAGAATTTTATTCAGATTTTTCAAACACATACGCATGACAAATAATGAGATACAAGTCTGTAAATTATGACAGGAAAAAATGGATAATTGTACAGAACACTCATCTTACATTCATACTACTCTACTCACTACATGTCATACATATAAACTTATTACACAGCCTTTGCCTGACTGACATTCATCATTAAACCATATACCCATTCGTACATACAAAATACTTATGGCCATGCGATGTGTTTTTATGAGAGAGAGAGAGAGAGAGGGAGAGAGAGAGAGAGAGATGGCACTATTTCCTATCTAAAAATCAATTTATTATCAAGATTGAAGCAGTAAATATTAACAGCTGATTAATTTTGAAAGAAATCAGCAAGCACTGTACGGCATTAAAGAGAAGAGAGCTATTCAAAATAATATCTATTACAGGTATTAACACACATTTTGTGATGTAATCAACAAGAACATTGAATATGGATTTATTGTGGAAAAACATGCAGTGTTTTTTGTTTTATGTGATGGTTCAGCATCTATTGTTCATCTGCTGGAGTCTATTTTTTCCTTTCAATAAGTTCTACTGAAACCATCAACCAATAGCCTAGGGTGATGATATTTAACCAGTAGCCTTTATATATGTAAAACATTTCCTTAAAGAAAAAAACAATTATTCAATAAACAACGGTTCACAACATATAAACACAACTGATATGACTTATAAATTGTATTGTAGAATTTGAGAGTAACACTGCCGAGTTTAAGCTAAAAATCCTCTTTCCACTGTGGTTCAGAGGGATGGTTGAGGTTGACACGAAAACTAGAAAAATCAGCATGAATACGTTTATTTGTCAGTTTGTCCTGAGCTATGATATCAAAGGTAAGTGGCTATAGGCAGTGTGAGATACAGTCAGAAGGGGGTAGAAATTACCTCCCTTGGCTATAGTCAGTGTGAGATACAGTCAAAAGGGAATAGAAGTTACCTCTATTGGCTAATAGTCTGTGTGAGATACAGCCAGAAGGGGGTAGACGTTACCTCCCTTGGCTAAAGTCAGTGTGAGATAGAGTCAAAAGGGAGTAGAAGTTACCTCCCTTGGCTATTGTCTGTGTGAGATACAGTCAGAAGGGGGTAGACGTTACCTCCCTTGGCTATAGTCAGTGTGAGATACAATCAAAAGGGAGTAGAAGTTTCCTCCCTTGGCTATTCTCTGTGTGAGATACAGCCAGAAGGGGGTAGACGTTACCTCCCTTGGCTAAAGTCAGTGTGAGATAGAGTCAAAAGGGAGTAGAAGTTACCTCCCTTGGCTATTGTCTGTGTGAGATACAGTCAGAAGGGGGTAGACGTTACCTCCCTTGGCTATAGTCAGTGTGAGATACAGTCAAAAGGGAGTAGAAGTTACCTCCCTTGGCTATTGTCTTTGTGAGATACAGACAGAAGGGGGTAGAAGTGACCTCCCTTGGACAGTGACGCCTTGAAGACATTTGACTTTTAACATATTGTTTTTAATAGATTCGTGTCATGGCCGTAACTACCAAAAGAAGGTGACACCATGACCTTTCTCTCTAGGTCACAGATTAAATAGACCTACCGAGAACAGTACTTTGACATTATGTGATGACCTCATGCTTTTATCAACCTAAAGGTTAACATAACAATTTTTATTTCAAGAAATTACCTATTAGATCAGTACACTGATAAATAGTTAATTTTCGAATCAAACAATGCCATTGCTGTCCTCTGCCTATCTGCTTCACCCATACCTTTGTCTAGCCTTTTGTCTCCTTAATTCTCGTTAAGTCACAAGGAGTTCTGATTAGTGCATTCCAATTTTAGCACCTGTTCCAAGGAGACATGTAACCTTATACTATGGGGCTGTGTCCATCGTCCATACTTGTCTGTGGTCAAAGGGAAGTCCATGTTGTTTAAATGAATGATCTTAGGGACAGGGCAACAATGTAAAAATAATATTAACTAGGCAAGGGTAGAGCCGTGGTTTTCTTAATGGTGGAATAATTTGGTCCTTTGCTCCTCGTCTGTAGTATGCAGGGGATTGAGTAAATATGAGAACATCATAAAATGGATTCAATCACAACAGTCGAAGGAGCAATAGGTAGTTCTTGTAGTAACTTAATATTAACTGTTACCAGAATATAAAGCTCTACATATAACATTGAGAAACTTAAATTATGTTTTTGTATTTATATAGGAAATGTAGGAAAAGAGGATGTTGTAAGACCACCCTGTGGATATTCCCCAACAAGTGGTGGACGGATTAGTCCACATGGACATAGCACAAACCCTTCAGGTAAATGTCAAGATATCCTCCATACTTACCAGAACCTGACAAGGTCAGTGTCTGGTATAACTGGCACACAATTTATAGATATCTTGCTGTTATCTTTTTTTCAGCATTGTAAATATTTATGGTTGTGTGTTTTAAGTGTCCAAATGAAAACAAAACACAGCATAGACACAAAGATTGTTATCACAGAACAAATTTTATATTGCGCACATTTTTTCACGCTTTATATTTGTTTACAATATAAATTTTCAAATGATGGTGATGATTCTGATGATCAAGGCCCTTCTGCAAACCACTTGATTTTAGCAAGCCATCATTCTCAGGAGAAGTATAGTGGTCTGCTAGAGGACCAGAATGCCCATGGTATGATTTCTTTTAATTAAGACTTGTAAGTTTGTGGACAGACATCAGTCATTCTTGTGGGACAGCACCATGTATTGTTCATTTTTTAAAATCCCTGGCAATACAAAGGTTAATTTTTAAAAAAAATGTCAAAAAATTGTGTACAGAATATGACCTGTGGGTTTTGGTTTGGACTTCTCTTTATACTGTCAGGTTTTCTGTCAGTATCCAAAAATGACATATTGCTGGTTATTTCAAATGTTTGTCATTTGATTGGTAATATTAATTTCTAGATGATTGTACCCAGGATGTTTCTAGTCACCTGCTGGAAGAGGTGTCAATGTCTGAAGCAAAAATTGAATGTCATTTTGGAAATAGGGAAAAGAAACCTAATGATGATATACCAGTGACCAACCAGAGCTCTGAGAATATCGCCAACACAATAATGGGGAAAAACTATCTATCTCCGGAGAAATCCACCAACGGCAATGTCCCTAGAAACATAGTACAACCATACCCAGGAAACAATCCTGAAAATAAATCATTAATGGAAGATGGTATGAGTAACAGTAGTAAAAACAACTCAGATTTAGGAAGTAACGGAAGGCAAAATTCAGGAGAGGTAAAAGTAACGTATGCAGAAAGTTCTGGAGAGGGAACGATCACTAACAAACAAAGTTCAGGAGAAGGAGGAATTGCTAACAACCAAATATCAATGGAAGAAAAGGTTATGAATAATCAGAAGGCAGGTCCAATAAAACGAGGTAATACACTTGTCGAAAATACCAGGGAACCATGTAAATGGCAGACAGGCAAAGACATTGACATGATGTCGGTGGAAGAAAATTCCTTTCAGCCAACTCAAGTTTTTGGAAACTTTCCTGATAACATTCCAGAAAAGAAAACGAATCGAGCAGGAAGTCTAGATGCCACTGACAAAACAAATGATCATAGTAGGCATGGGCCATCAGTGGTTTGAATCACTGAGAATGTATGTTGTCAATAAATGTATTTCACAGCCATCAGTCGTTTAAATCACTCAGAATGTATATTTTGTCAGTAAATGGATCCCACAGCCATCAGTGGTTGAAATCAATGAGAATGTATAAGTTGTCAGTAAATGTATTCCAAAGCAATCAGTGGTTTGAATCACTGAGAATGTACGTTGTCAATAAACGTATTTCACAGCCATCAGTGGTTAAAATCACTCAGAATGTATATTTTGTCAGTAAATGTATCCCACAGCCATCAGTGGTTGAAATCACCGAGAAAGTATAAGTTGTCAGTATATGTGTTCCACAGCAATCAGTGGTTTAAATCACTGAGAATGTATGTTGTCAATAAATGTATTTCACAGCCATCAGTGGCTTAAATCACTCAGAATGTATATTTTGTCAGTAAATGTATTCCAGAGCCATCAGTGATTTAAATCAATGAGACCGTATGTTGTCAGTAAACGTATTTCACAGCCATCAGTGGGTTAAATCACTCAGAATGTATATTTTGTCAGTAAATGTATCCCACAGCCTTCAGTGGTTGAAATCACCGAGAAAGTATAAGTTGTCAGTATTTGTGTTCCACAGCAATCAGTGGTTTAAGTCACTGAGAATGTATATGATGTCTGTAAATGTATTCCACAGCCATCAGTAGTTTAAATCCCTGAGAATGTATATATGTTGTCAGTTAATGTATTCAACAACCATCAGTGGTTTAAATCACTGATAATGTATTTGTTGTCAGTAAATGTATTCCACAGCCATCAGTGATTTAAATCAATGAGAACGTATGTTGTCAGTAAACGTATTTCACAGCCATCAGTGGTTTAAATCACTCAGAATGTATATTTTGTCGGTAAATGTATTCCACAGCCATCAGTGGTTTAATTCACTGATAATGTATTTGTTGTAAGTAAATGTATTCCACAGCCATCAGTGGTTTGAATCACTGAGAACGTATATACTGTCGGTAAATGTATTCCACAGCCATCAGTGGTTTAAATTACTGATAATGTATTTGTTGTCAGTAAATGTATTCCACAGCCATCAGTGGTTTGAATCAATGAGAACGTATGTTGTCAGTAAACGTATTTCACAGCCATCAGTGGTTTAAATCACTGAGAATGTATATGATGTCAGTAAATGTATCCCACAGCCATCAGTGGTTGAAATCACTGAGAATGTATAAGTTGTCAGTAAATGTATTCCAAAGCAATCAGTGGTTTGAATCACTGAGAATGTATGTTGTCAATAAATGTATTTCACAGCCATCAGTGGTTGAAATCACTCAGAATGTATATTTTGTCAGTAAATGTATTCCACAGCCATCAGTGGTTGAAATCACTGAGAATGTATAAGTTGTCAGTATATGTGTTCCACAGCAATCAGTGGTTTAAATCACTGAGAATGTATATATGTTGTCAGTAAATG